GAAATACATTGTATACACGTATGATTTTTTTTTCCAAAACAGTATTCCTTTGTAAAACAGCTCTGGCTGTCCTGGAACTTGCTTTGTAGACAAGGCTGGTCTAAAATGTCACAGAGATCCACTAGCCCCTACCTCCCGAGTGCTTGGACTAAAGGCATGCACCACCACTGCCCAACTTGAACATTTTTGAAAAATTAATAAAAATATTACAAACATAGCATAGAGGGACAGGGTCAGGAAGACAGGTTCCTGTGCCCATTCATTTTATTGGCTTTTATTTATTTTTGAGGTGTGGAAAATGTTCGAGAGAAAGCTAAAGAACAAGAAACAATCCTCTTTTAATTCTAACACTTGTCATCTTGAAGTCAAGTCTTTGCATCTCTCTTGATGCTGGGCCTGTTTCTCTGTATGACTACTAATTCCCAATCGCATCCTGAACGTTATCAATGAGACACTCCCTGGTCCACATCAGTGCTGCTCCATACAAATAAGCTGGATGTGTCATCTGACTTTTCCAGCAGCCATGGGAACAGTGAAAAGAAACAGATGGACGTTTCATTTCCATAGCGTATTCTAGGGCGGGAGCTATAGCTCAGGGGTAGAGCACTGAACAGGCAGATGTGAGGCCCTAGGCTTGGTCCCCAGCACTGCAAAACAAACACCACCAAACTGCAGAAACATCAACAGAGCCAGTGAAGTGGCCCAGCAGGTAAAAGTTCCTGGGACCCACAGAAGAAGCTGAGAACCAGCTCCCCACCATTGCTTTCTCACCTCCACATGTGCATAGAGGCATACGTGCTCTGCATAGTAATGCATAAATACTTAAAAAATAATAACAACACAAACACATACTTTCCTCCAACATATTTAAAATACAGTTATTCTGGATGATTATAATCCACACCATCCCATCTCATATTATTAAATTATCTTGCAATTGTAAATCATTGATATTTATAATTTCATTCCCTTTGAAACCCAACAGTTTTATTCACATATTTTATACGCACAGCAAATTTCACCTTGGGCCAGCTACAGGCTCTCACATTGAGTGGTACACCCCTAGAGAATCATGGTAGAATCCTGAACTTCCAGCTGAGCAGGCAGCACACCTGGCTTCGCTAAGCACAGGTCGCTGAGATGGGCAGGAGCTTCCCTAGTAGTTCTGTTCTGCTGCCCTTAGCACTACCCTACGAAATCCGTCCCACCTGTGTCTTATCTTAGGGATGGGGCCAAGTATATCTGTGGAATCTCCCTCCTTTCTGCACCTTTTACCTTCTCAATTTTCAGCTGCTATGGTCACCCTGAGCACGCATGTGAGCTCAGCTGCAGTCCATTGCAGTTCTAGCTGAGCCTCTGTTAAGGTCTGAATCTGAAATCTTGCTCCTAAGTTCACGTTTTGAATGCTTGCCCCCTAGCTGGTGGTGCTACCATGGGAGGCTACGGAACTTTGGTAGCTGAAGCTTAGCTGGTAGAAGTGAGTTACTGTGGGGAAGGACTTTGAAGGCCACAGCCTGGTCCCTGGTTCCAGCACTCGACCTGTTCTGTATAGGCCCACAGGCAACGTTACTACACACTAGAGCCACCGCTATGAGCATTGCTGCAACACCTACACCAGCTACAGCTCCTGCAAACCCTCAGAGGTCATGAGCCACAAGCAATCTGTGCTCATTGAAGCTGTTCCTGTCAGATACTTTGTTTGCCACAGCAATCAAAGGTAACTATTGCAGTGTCCATGTAGTGACAAATGGTCTTCTGCTCATATCCTCCATTGCAATTTCTGTCTGTGTTCTGGCTTTCAAATAGTTGCTTCTGTATTTTCTCTGGAGTTCCCTGTCATTATCTGCAGCTCCATTATTAAGGATGTAAACCCTTTAATTGGCAGCATTTAATCGATATTCCTTAGTGTTCCACAGGGGTGCCTCAGGCCTGCTGTGGGGGAAGGGGTACTGACTGAGGAAATGTTATTTTATTTGTTTTCTGCACATAATCTAAAACTTTTAGATGTTAAAGTATAGTTTGTAAACACTGATCAGAAAATACAATTTGTGAAGGCATCCCTAGGGCTTCTTTGTAAAATTCCCTTGAGTCTATCCTGACGTCTCTGTGTCATGAATGAGTTCTACACCCCATTCTTGGCTCATTCTTCCAGGGGCAGACCATTCTTGGTTTCAGGAAGAGAGAACTCCACCATCTCATCATTGAGGTCTCCCCCCACCCCCCGCGCGCGCGTGCGCGCGCGCGCGCTTTTGTTTTTACTTTTACATTTGTCTTTTTTATTTTAAATTTTTTATTCATTTTATATATCAACCATGGTTTTTCCTCCCTCCTCTCCTCCCCTCCCCTCATCTCCATTCTACCCCCCTCCCCCATCCACTCCTCAGAAAAGGTAAGGCCTCCCATGGGGAATCAACAAAGCCTGGCATACCAAGTTGAGGTAGGACCAAGCTCGCATGGTCACTGAGTTTTTACAGTTGTTAAATCTTCCTTCTTTGGCCTCATAGCCGAAAGAGGGACTGGAGGATGGGCTTGAAGTATGGCTGCCAATCCTCAAAATACACAACTAGGGGAGTTACTGTGCCTTACAATTGCAGGCCTCTAGGAACTCAAGCAGCTAGTCACCTCACACCCTCAGTCAACTGCAGTGAGAGATGACTATTTCCAAGCTGCCTGGCCTCTCCGAGTTTTTCCCATTCTTTTATAGTTCAGTATCCAGTCCATGACATCTAAGGTGGGTCTTCCCATCTCCATTAACAATCAGGACAATGCTCCCCCACCCCCAGACAAGCCGACAGGCCAAGCTGATTTAAGTAATTTCTCAATTGAAGATCTTTTTTTAGTAATTCTAGGTTGTGGCAAGTTGATATTTGAAACTAACCGCCATGCAGACTTTCTGAATGAGCGAGCCCTCCCTTGAAGCCTTTAGCATGAAAGTGGACTTTCATTCTTAATTTTGAAGGAGCTCGAAAAAGCAACATAAGGAACATCACCTGCTTGCTGCTCCTTCCCATCTTCTCTTAAGCACATGATGAGAGATTAACAAAAGGCTGTGACAATGCTATGATAGCTCAGCAAATAAGGGTGCTTCGGCCAACCCTGACAACCTGAGTTAGATACTCAGGGCACATTTGGTGAGGAGATCATCAATGTCTAAGAGATGCCCTTTGACCTCCACACATGTGCCACGGAGTATGTGTGCACACATGCAGCAGGCATGTTCACACACACACACACACACACACACACACACACACACACACACACACACACACACACACATAAAAATTAGAAAAAGTGTAAGCAAAGGGGATTGGCACAAAAGCCAAACACATTGTGAGACTCCTGAATTAGGACAGGGGCACACGAAGATCATAAAAGACCCCAGAGACTCCACACATCAAAAAGCCACGCCTAATTAGCAAAGGTGAATACGCCTTGACATGATGGGCAGGGTCACAAAGCAAAAACCAGTTGCTCAACTTGGGGCAGAAAGGGAGGCAGAGGGGCAACAGTGTGCAATGCATCGGAGTCGCTGGGTACCATGTTTCTGTCCAGCACAACTAGAAAGAAACATGTAGAACAGAACACATGGAACTGATGGACACACTGCACAGCTCACCACAGTCAAGAACTGCAGATTTTATGCCAGAGCACACGGGCAGCATGGCCATTTCATGTTTCAGCTGGGTCTGGCAGAGAAGTACAGATGGCTTCCACACAACAACAGATGCTCACAGAGACGGGTCAACCACGGGTACTAGCCTCTGCAGACCCTTATTCTTAGACACTAAAATTCTAGCACTTATTTCTTCTTCCTCCAAGACAAGAGATTTAGGGGAGCCAATGGGCACCATTCAAAAGTGTGAGCCCATGGCCACATTTTCTCTGTGAGACGTCAATCACGACCAGTAAGCTGCCTTCCAGCTAGGACAGGATATTTCCATAGTGTTCTGGTTTAGAAGACAGACATTCAGACAGCACTGTGTCATCATACTTCAGTCGTTAACATGGATACAGCAGTGGTGCCATCCGATTACAATGGAGTTGAAAGATTTCCATCACCTCCACCATGTCACAGTGTAACACACCATGCTTATGGCAACACCCGTGGAAACAAACCAACTGTACTGTTACATTTATTATTCTTGGAGAGGGCTGGGATATGAATATGGTAAACTTGCCTATGCATGCTCATGAGGGGGTCAGAGGTCATTGTTGGGTGTCTCCCCCTATCACCTTATTGTATTTTATTTTGAGAGTGTTTCTTGGTGTGTCTAGAGTTCACCAACTGGCTAGATTGGTTTCAGTAAGCCTTGGTTATCTGCCTGTTTGCACACACTCCTCTAGGTCTGGGGTTACAGACATACACAAATGTTCCCTTCTCTTACAGGGGTGCTAAGGACCCAAACTCAGGTCCTTATGATTTCACTCTACCCACTGATCCATCTCCCAGCCCCAATACATACCACAGTACACACTACTGACAATGATAACAAGTGATAATAAGTTACCGTACACACTACTGACAATGATAACAAGTGATAATAAGTTACCGGTCCAGGTACTTACTGTGCTACAATTGCTATTGTTATTTTAGAATGTACTCCTTTTTAAAAGTATTGTTCACTGTAGAGAAGTTTGTGTTAGAACAGCACCAGCCAACCCATTCCATGTCTACTGACTGTATCATTTTTATGCTTAATGTTCTCTTTTGTTCATATCCTAGGAACAATAAACTATAACACACCTATGCAGTTAGCCTACTTGTATAGTAAACATTATATTGTCTAAATAGGCACTTCTCAGAATGTGTCCCTGTCGTCAAGCAACACAAATACTTTGAGCAAGCAAAAAAAAAAAAATTAAATAAATCACTAGCCACACCACCAGAATATGGCATAGGCTGGTTCTGTGGTGTTAACTGTGTATTGCCATCCCCTCTTTAGAGGGGGTGCTATCCAACACACTGGTGGTCCAAGCCACAGAATACAGCGACTTACCTGGACTGGCATGGGTGAGAGTTGCACCTTCGGACTTGGGGTTCAGGGCGGCTTGCTTGGGGACAGTCACTGTCATTCACCAGGGTTGTGGTCTTGTTAACAATCCGTGTGCATGATACAATGGTTCTTCGTTCTCCTGGAAGCCAAATCACGGGAACTGAGAAGTTATGGAGGCCCATTACTGGAAAGCCATTCATTCATGCTTATGGAGGGTATTTGGGTGTAACTACCCATCAGTGAGTGAGCCATATCACAAGTTGTCAAAGAGGGCGGAGCTGTTCTCTAAGGGATGGGGTGTTTAAGTCATAACAGAGCTGTTTGGAGTAGGGTAATATTTGAGAACAATCTGAGAAAGCAGCAGGATCCTCATGTCAGCTGTGTCCTTGGATAGCTTGGGAGTTGCTAAAACCAATGCTTTGCTTTGGGGCTTTCAGAAATTGCTAATCTTTTGATCTGCATGTGTGAGATTTAAGGTCTGTGGAGATTTGGTCCCAGTCACACCTGTATATCAGCTTTCACTGAGAGCATGGTCCTCACTTTGTTACAGGCTTTCTTCTCGAGAGGAGTAAGGTGGCTGCTGTGACAGACATGCAGGCTTGCTTCACTCCACAGTGTTCACTTAGCACAGTGGTGCCAACGCCTCAGCGTCAGGTGCTGTTGGGCAGCTTTGCAAACCCATTAACCTTTCTTTGAGTGTCCCTATGAGCTCTCAATCTGATGGCTACAACTTTGTCAGGGAAGCTGAGGGACGGTCATGAGGAGGGTGGCCTCTGGAACAGGCTGTCTGGGTGCCTCTTGGCTTTGTCACTATCAGTGTCACTGTGACCATAGCGTCAACAGTTGGCTACCACACTTCTATATCTCAGTTTCCCCAAGTGGGCCAGCTTGCTTCACCCCATTGCTCTAGGATGTGAGAGTGCTGACACCTCATGTAACTGTATTAGTGTTATAGGTATGGCTTGAGAAAGGTGACCATAAAGGATGAACAGGGAGTCAAGTGCAACTATTCAGGCCTAGGTTTCTCTGTAAGATCTGTTGTTTTCGGAATTTGTCATGCAGGGATGACTAAAAAAACGAGGAGACTTAAGCCACTGTCTTAGGCTCACAAATGTAGTCACATGTAAATATGAAAGCAGAGAGCTACGGAATGCAGAAGCAGACTAGACAGGAGCTGGAAGTCACTGGTGCCACAAAGGGACTGCACCAAGGCATCTGTGGCTGTGGCAGTTCAGAGTTCCCAGTGGAGCACAGCCTGCCATGGCTCCTCCGGCTGGGCTTTGTCTACAGTAGGTTGGCCCAGAGGAATGTCTAACCACAGTTAGAGACCCAGGCATGAGCCCCTAAAGTGGGAGGGCAGGAAGCCACCAGCCCAAGGGACAGCTGAAAGCCACAGGACAAGAGGTCTGGAAAAGGTGTTTTCTGGTAGGGCTGATAATGGCATCTGGAAGTTGTGCCAATAGTCACAGTCTGCAGAAACATTAGGTGTGAGCAGTGAGCTGAGATACATAGGAGGGAAGTGAAGGGCTTGATCACACCATGGCTCTGATCTCCCCTGAACAATGGGATGAGTCCCTAAGTGTTATACAATGCAACACAGGCTGCATATGTGATGACATCATCTTAGCACTCAAGCCGCTTCAGAGCAGGGGTGGGTGGGGTCGCACCTGGGTTCTAGCTTGCCAACCTGCTGGCTGGGTAGGTATTGAGAGTCCTCATCAATCCTCTGTCTCAACTGTCTTACCCACCATCCTCTGTGTCATCCCCATGTCCCTCCTGAGGGCCTTATTGGAGTAACAAATGGCACTGACCCAGAGGTCAGTCTTACTTCTTACTTGAACTTACTGTTTCTTATTCTGTTACTAGCTCTTGCTATGCTCTCTTCTTTTTCTTCTTCTTCCTCCTCTCTCCTCCTCCTCCTCCTCCCTCTCCTCCTCCTCTTCTCTCTCTCTCCCATGCCCCCCCTCTCCCCCTGACCATTCCCAGTCTACTTCTTTCTCTCTGCTCTGGACTCTTCCAGATGCCTCTAGATACTCTCTCTCTTATCTACAATAAAACCTTCCCATACCATGGAGCAGTCCCACCAGCAGCTTCTTTACTTTCTTGAGTGCAGTTTTCCTGCTGCTCTATGTTAAAACTTTCATTTCTTTCTTTTGTTCGTTGATGGTTTCTCATGGGTATATATTGAATTTTGGTCATCTCCACCCCTGTTACTTTCTCTGGTCCCCACCCCTTGCTGAAGCCTTCTTCCCAACAAGCCCTCTCCTAATTTGGTGTGTGTTTTAGTGACCGGCTGAGTTGAATGACAGTCGCTGGTATGACTGGGGAATTCTTTATCACCAGTGCTTCTTCTTAATGCCCTACTAGCAGACACAGCACCTTCGCTAATGTAGGTCTTTGCAATGTGACAGTCCCTTTGGCTCACATGCAGGCTCTACAGCTAGAGGGTGGGGCAATCATCACAGGTTAGAGGTGAAATGCAGGTGTGCACAGAGGGGGCAGGTTATCTGCTAAGGCTGGGCAGACAGAGATGCAGAGTCAGAGCTCACTCGAGGTGTGCTCTGTCCGACCCAGAGGACTCTTTTCTTTTGCACCCTGGAGAGGGCGACCATGGCAATGAGGACAGAGCACTTGGGGATGGGTGAGGTCTTCATCTGGTGCCATTCCACCAAAATGGAGGTCTATTTCAATTATCTAAGGACCATTTTTGTTTTCATATCTACCACATACTCACATGACTGGCAAATATCTACTGCTAGGGTTAAACTCCAGGCCAAGGAGCAGTGTGGGCCCACCAATCTTCAGGAGCTGTGATGGCCTGGCCACATGCTCTGTTGAGATTTTTCAGGGCTTAGGTTCCCATGGAACTACAAATTCTCTTTCCACACTGAGTGGACTGGCACAGAGGGCCCTGAATTCAGTATTTCTTCAGTTGCACCCTCACCTCTCCCACCCCCACCGTACCTCCTCCACACTGCACGCTGCACCCTCCCCAGCCACTGTGGGTCCAGAGAAAGAGGGCGTCCTGGGGCTTGGTGGGCTCACTCTGATTTTCAGTGCTCTGGTTTACGGGTATGGTATATTCATAGTGAATGCCATAGTTCTGGTCGTGAAATAACAGCACCTGGAGCCAGGAGAAAAGGAAGACCTTGTTGAGATGGAGTGAGTACCCACAGACTGCTGTGACTGCTTCCCTACTAGCCAGCTCTCTTCTGAAGATAAAAGCAGGTTAAAGAGGTGTCTGTCTCAACCTCAGGTTCCTTGGGGCCTTGGGTGGTAGATAGGGTGAACACACTATCATCAGTGAGTTCTGCTCTTTTCTAATCTACAAAGGACCTGTTTATAGGAGGGATCTGGGGTGGTAAACCGCAGGTTGTTTGTGGCATTTTTCTACATCGTACAGCAGATCCACATCCTACCAACTTATGCTCATCTGTGAGCATAAGGTTGTGCTCACAGATGAGAGAGACACAAACACATTGCTTCTTCCTAGAGAGATCTGAGAGTCATTTCTTTGACTATAAGCTTGGGGCTGCCTAGTTTATATCAACTTGACCCAACCTGGAGTCATTTGGAAAGAGGGAAAAAACATCAATAGGGGAAATGCCCACATCAGATTCGCCCATCTGCAAGCCTTTGGCACCATTTTCTTGATTGATGACTGTTGTGGGTGGGCCTGGCTTATTATGGGTGGTGCCATCTCTGGGTGAGAGATGAGAAGGTATGATAAGCAAGCCATGAGGAGCAAGCCAGTAAGCAGCCTTCCTCCATGGCTTCTGTTTCAGTTCCTGCCTCCTGGTTCCTGACTTGCTTGAGTTCCCTCAGTGACAGACTTGGAAGTGCAAGATGAAATAAACCCTTTCCTTCCCAAGCTGCTTTTGGTCATGGTGCTTTTCATACCAATAGACACACTAACCAAGACAAGTCTGCCCTCCAGCTGGTGCCTTTCATCACCTGTCATTGTTACACCACAGTTTGCATACTCAGGGGTAAGTCGGGTCAAGAGAAGGAGAGACACAGCCTATGGCAGAGGGACCTGGGGGAACCTATGTGAAGGATGCTGAGGCTGTCTGCACCTTGGTACCACCATGGAGCTTGAATGATCACCATGCCTGTTGGAAGGCAGATGCATGATTCATGGTTGAACACTAAGGGTAGATGGCGGTGCAGAGAGGTGACTGAGCTTCACCTGTGGGAGCCATGCTGCAGCTTGGGGACCATGCATCTGAAATCCTAGTGAGGGCTTAGAATGGAAGAGTCTAGGCTTTGCCTGGGGCAAAACATGACAAGCCTGGTAAGACCACCAGGTGCCCAATTGGCTTTAGAGATTATGTAGATAGGTAGATATGCATCATGATGTCAAGCTTTTCTGTGGGAGATGGACCTAGCTGTAGACCAGTGAGTGTCCCTGGGGATAGTGGCAGAGTGCACAGCCCACCTGCCTAGACTCTAACAGAAGGGAATTGTCCCAAGGCTTCCTGGGCCTACAAGGCTGCACTGAAGGATGGGGTAGGGGCTCTAGAGGTAGACCTGATACATATTAGTTTCCCCAGCTAATAGATCTGCAGCCATGTACTTGGAGAAATGCTTCCTGCTAGAAAACAAAATGAAACAAAACAACAAGATACTGCCCCCCCATCCCAAAATACAAAACAAAACTATGTGATTAGTCTTTACAAGAGATTTTTTTCATAGCCATCTATGCTTACTGTATGTGTCTAGTTGGTTTCAAATGATGACCTCTAAGACTCCATAAGCACCTCTCATTGTGAAAGTAATGTACACACCCCAGTTTAGGGACCATGGCTTTCTATGCTGAGGCAAGGGAACCTTGACGTGAAAGCAATTAAATATTAAATCAGGGCTGAAAGTCCAGCTGGTTGTGAGGTACTTCCTCTGAGTTCAGTTATGGTCCTCATAGACCAATCAGTTTATAAGAGCTTTTGGTGAAGAAAGGCCCTATGCACACTCCAGTGTTTGTTAGAGAGGGCAAAGTCCTGCACTAATGGCTCATGTTTCTTCATGGCCCTTATTTTGTCTCCAGCTCCCTCTTTGTGCCCCTCTGAATATTTGCTTTGAACTCAGAATAGTTGTGTGTGTGGGGGCATTATTTCAAAGGCTTTGACTGGGAAACATCTCATCCTGGGAAAATGGCTCTGTGACAGGTCCCTGGGTCCCAAAGATCTACTTGCAGAAATGATCTCCAGTGGAATCATTGGCAGATTCCCAGACAGTTTATGGTCCACGTGGAAGCTGGCTGGCTTTCAGCTCAGCAGAGTCTACAATGGGGTCAGCACCCTCATCAGGCCACACTCAACACCCACAGTAGGTGGTGGCCAGAGAATCTTCTGAATGTTAGCTCATCTCCAGTGGCACAAATAAATGGGGGGAAGAACTTTGGAGACTGGCAGGCACTTTGGACAATGTGTGCTCTCACAACACATGCACAGAATGCCACAAACCCTGACCTTCATGAGGTCAGAATCAACAAGCCTCTCACCTGGCATACACAAGGCCTGTGTTCAATCTCTAGCACCCTCACAAAATGATCCATAATGGGGTGTTGTCATACATAGTCCATGAGATCTTGCAGACCCTGAGAAGGCAGCCCTGGCATGATGCCCTGGAGGCCTTTGATACCGAGCCCATGTTTAAGTGGCAATCATAGAGTTCCCAGGCATTAAGAGATAACACTGGCATCCTGGCTAGCTGAGTATACAAGTTTCCTAAAGCCACATGGAGAGTAAATAGAAGACGGGATCTGATTCTTTCCGGATTCCCTAACGCTGGGTGTAAGCAGAATCTGGCCAGTCTGAGTGGTACCATACATTGCATCCACAGTCACTTCCAGAAGGTGCTTCTCAGTTATGGGCTAGCTCCATGCATGCTGCCATCTGACCCAAACAGATTGTGAGCACAGCTCTGCTGGCTAGTTTCATGTCAACTTGAGAGGAGGGAATCTCAATTGAGGGAATGTCTCCATTTGAGAGGAGGGAATCTCAATTGAGGGAATGTCTCCATAAGATGGGGCTGTAAGCCATTTTCTTAATTAGTGATTGATGTGGGAGGACCCAGTCCAGTGTGGTTGGGGCCACCACTGGGCAGGTCTTCCTGGGTGCCATGCCTGAGCAAGCCATGAGAAGCAAGCCATGAAGCAGTACTCCTCCATGGTCACTGCTTCAGTTCCTGCATCATGGTTCCCACCTGGTTTGATTCCTGCCATGGCTTCCCTCAGTGGTCTGTAACTCTGGATATGTGGCCAAGCAACCCCCTTCCTCCCCAAGCTGCTTTTCTATCATGGTGTTTTATCGCCACAATGGAAACCCTAAAGTAAGACAATGACTGTTGATTTAATGGTACCAGCTGTCCCTGGCTGCCACCCATGTGACTGATTAATACCTTTCTGGAAGCATCTCCTTTTGAAAAAGCTAGTTACTCTGCTGGTGAGGATCCAAGAGGAGATTCTGGGGAGGAACCCCAAAGTGAAAGGAATGGGACCGAGAGAGAGGTGAAGGGCTGGGGAGACAGTTCAGTCAGCAACATGTATGCTGCAGTCAGCAATGTGCATGTTCCAGCCAGTAATGTGCATGCTGCAGTCAGTAACATGCATGCTTCAGTCAGTAATGTGCATGCTCCGGTCAGTAACATACATGCTGCAGTCAGTAACGTGCATGATTCATTCAGTTATGTACATGCTGCAGTCAGTAGCATGCCATGCTGCAGTCAGTAACATGCATGCTCCAGTCAATAACATGCATGCTGCAGTCAGTAATGTGCATGCTGCAGTCAGCAATGTGCATTCTGCAGTCAGTGATGTGCATGCTGCAGTCAGCAATTTGCATGCTGCAGCCAGTAATGTACATGCTTCAGTCAGTAACATGCATGCTTCAGTCAGTAATGTGCATGCTCCAGTCAGTAACATGCATGCTGCAGTCAGTAACGTGCATGATTCATTCAGTTATGTGCATGCTGCAGTCAGTAATAATGCATGCCACAGAAACACAAGGAGCTGAGTTTGGATCCTCAGAACCCATGAAAAAAGCCAGGCATGACATCATGAGTGTGCAATCCCAGAACTGTAGGTGTGGGCAGAGATAAGGGAATTGATGAAGTTTACTAGCCAGCTAGCCTAGCCAAATCAATGAGCTTCAGGTTGTGTTAGAGACCCTGTCTCAAAGCATAAATGTTGACAGCAACCAAGGAAAGACACTGGCTGTTGATGTTGCATTTATACATATGTGCACAAATGTGTGCTGGAATGCACAGTTGCATACCCTCAAGAACATGTTCATTCACCGCATGCACACATCATAAACACATCACACATATGCGTATACACAAATAAATGAACAAATGAAAGTAATGGTAAAGAGAGAAAGTCCTCAGTAGCAGGGATTCTTGCAAACTCCTAGGAACCAGAGACATCCCCTTCCACCCAGGTCCTGGGAACAAGACTAATAAACCTCCTGAGATGTCAGTGTAAGCATATGCCCAGCGCTTACCATCAGATGCAGTGGCACTGTGGTGGGTCCCTTGGCTGAAAACTTCTCCCACAGGCCTCTTCTCACATAGCGGACGGTCGTACCTGCAATCTGGAACTCTCCAGGGAGCTCTATCTTCCAGTCACTGTTGATGGATCTTTTACTGGAGTCTTTGAGAGCTAGAAAGGAAGATGAACATCGGAAAATCAGTGCCATTTAGCTTGTCCTCGGAGGGTGTGTGTGTGTGTGTGTGTGTGTGTGTGTGTGTGTGTGTGTGTGTGTGTGCACATGCAACATGTGTGTGTGTTAGGGATGCTCACAGGAACCCCTTTCTAGGATGCACTGTCTGAGTCTGAGGCTGCTATGAGGGCAGGCAGGAGCCTGCAGTGAGAGGATTGTACTCTGGCACCAAGGATAGCAGGCTGGTTCACAGAAAGCAAATTTCTCTGGTTCCCAGGAGAAAGAGCTGATGGCACATCTTCCAACACAGCTGTCTATCTCAGTACCAGTTCCAGTAATGAGACTGGGGGAGAGGCTGGAGGCTGGAGGTGCCAGGATCCAGTTCAAACCAATGGCAGGAAATGGCTTCCTACCTGATGAAAGAAAGAGTTCTGCCTTGGTATAGTCAAGGCCACAAAACATGTCTTGGAGCTTTGGTAAAACCCATTCGTTCATTTAAGATTTAAAAAATATTGACAAGTATTAGTTGTACTATTTGGGGTTCAGTGTGAGAGCTGACTATATGTATACTACACATATTGACAATCACTATTCTACATTTGAAAGAGAACACACAGGGCTTGTCTTTCTGTGTCTGCATATCACACAATCTCCTACAGTTCCACCCTCTTTGTTGCCAAGGACAGACCAAAGATGGCCAAGTGACCAACACCTTCTCTAGCCCAGTTCTGCTCAAAATCCCTATGTAGCTGAGACCTTGAACTTCTGCTCTTCCCGATTCTACCTCCCTAGTGCTGAGGTTACAGGTGCATATTGTCATACCCCGTTTATACAGTGCTGGGGATTGAACCCAGGGCTTCCTGTGTGCCAGGCAAGCACTGCACCAATCGAGTTACATCCCCAGCACCTTAAACAAGCTTTATTTACTTCTTATTTTCTATTTATATGCATGCATGTGTATGTTTCTGTGTAAGCTCCTGTGCATCGCATGGAGGTAGTACCTGCAGAGATCAGAAGAGAGCATCTGATTGCCAGGAATGGAGTCAGAGTCAGTTGTGAGCCACTGTGTGGAATCTAGGAATTGAACCAGGGTCCTCTACAAAAGGAGTAAGTACTTTAACCCCTGTGCTGCGCTCTCTCTCTAGCTCCCTCCCCCATTTGAGACAGGGTTTTACACTATAGCCCAGGAAAGCCTTAAATTCACTGCAATTCTTTGCTTTAGGTGTCAACCACTCTGCCCAGCCTGATACTTATTTTAAAATGAAATGCAAATAGCTTACAAGTGTTAAAAATTACTCAAACCAAATCAAACTCCAAACCAAATAAAACAATCCCTCCAACCAAACTCCTTACTCTCACAAGTCATGAGGGAGATGTACACCATCTCACCCTTGTCAGCATGTGCTCATGAATAAAACAAGAATTAGCACATGATGGCAAGGACAAGGAGAAAATCATGCATGGTGTGGCTGGGAATGTACATTTCTCTGGCTCTTATGGAAAATTCACAGGAAAAGCACAGACCCATCACAGGATCTGGCTTCACCACTTCTGGTTAATATACACAGGAAATGAAATCAGCACTGAGCAGAGATACGCTACAGCCATGCTCACTGCACGTAGAGCACGGACTCAGCCTAGATACCGGTTGATAGATGAATAGATAAAGAATATGGAGAGTACGTACACAAAATGGAGCATTCTTTAGCCATGAAGAAAAATGTAAGCATCCATCCATTTTACTGTTAGCTCCCTGGGCCCTTGGAAGGGCAATGTAACTCCAGTATCCCCCAAGGATCTGGCACTCCCACATTGGGAAAGTGGATATTCCTTTAGGAAGTGCTGCTAGTCTGTTATGTACTCAGCTACTCATAGATGTGGTGACAACACTTAGCGGCTAAGGAGAGGTAAGGGCTAAACACTGGGCAATCAAAGCACCACACTCTCTTACTCACACCTCTGATGCAAAGCTTATGGGGGGTAAGGGTGTCCATGCACTGCCCCCTCCCACAGTACAGGCTGGGGTCACATGACCTTGCTTAGGAGAACCCTCTGCAGTAGAGTTCTGATGCCCTTTGCTTTTGTTGTCATTGTTGCTACTTAGAGAAAACCATTGCATGAAAAACAAACAAACAGCAGCAGCAAACTAGGATCCACTCTAGCACTTAGTAGGTGGCAGATGACTCAAGGTGACAGTAGGTCTTAAGGTCATTCTGTAAAATGAAACTCTCACACACTCTGGTCCGCAACTGGAGTCCTAACACCCCTGACTTCTCCATGTCACTTTGTGGCGCCAGTTTGCAGTCAATGATTTCAGAGACCCTTCCATGTCCTATTATCTGCCTGCTGAAACTAGCAACTAAACAACCCACTGACCACCAATTTTGGATATGGAGACTCAAAGGGGCCCCTGGAAGCTGAATCTGTCAGCCATGCTGGGTCAGAAGCCTGAGGGTGAAGTCTGCTCAGACAGGCAGCTATAGGATACAGGGCAAGTCCAGCCTTGGCTCCCTGGTCTGTGTGATGTTCCAGTCCCAGCAAATGCAGTGGGGGAGCAGGCTTGGGGCATTTCAACTATGTAGCTGCCCAGGAGAACAGGCAGGGTACTGTCCAACATGGTGATGTACTGTGAGGAACATATCCCAGGGAGGCTGCATATAGAATTGAAGGGATCCCAGACTCCAGGGAGGGACCAGGGGGAACTCTGTTACCTGGAACAGATCTATTTTGCTGGAGACTTTCTGGCTACTGAGAAGGAGGTGATAGCACAGTCCCTCCCCTTTTTCTCTTCCAACATCAGCTCTTGTAAACCACTATTTAGGGAACACCCCTTCACATGATCTTACCATTAATCTTCCCAAGGACTCTTGGAATTATTTTCCTCACATGTTAGATGAAAAAGATGGAAGAACAGGGAGGTTGAGGAACTTGCCCCAAGACACTCAGCTATAAAGTTGTAGTAATGAGACCCGGGCTCAATAGACTGAGCCTTACACACTTGGCATATCATCTTAGGTGAAGGTGATAGAGGAATTTGTTGTCTTTCAGCTTCACTGGAGGCTTGGGAAGTCATTTCTTGCACATGCTCATATATTCTTGATTGGAGGAATTACTGTGGGCTGGTGGGAAGTTCCAGAACAACAACAATGATGGCCTATAGTCCTCTAACAAAGAAAAAGTTGAGGATGCCTGTGGAACAGCAGGGGTACCTCTGCCAGTCTCTCCCCATATTCTGAGTTTTCTGGCAAGGGGCTTAGGACAGAGTGCTACTGTTCTCAGAGAACTCATAGTTTGGAGGACAGACAGACAAACAGAGTGAAATGACACAGCTTCATCTGCTCCATGAAAGAGGCATATTGGGGTACTTGGGTGTGTAAGTGGGAGTGACACAGGCAACTGGAGACAGCTTCCTGGAATAAAGACTATATAAGTTTACCTGTTGCAGCCAGGTAAAAAAGAAACTTCTAGGAGTGTGTGGTAGACCTGGAGCCAGCTTCTTTGAGAATGTATTTTCCCTCTAGTCATGTGGGACTATGTTCAGTTCTGGGCTTTGGTTACCTTTCACCTTAGAGAGAAATACTTTTCTTCTTAGGCATTGTCCAAAGACATAAACCTGATCTGTCACTACATGGGAAGAGCTCCCAAGAGAGGACAGGAGTCATATGCAGACACTGCTTCCTGTCTCATCAATGGAAACTCTTAGATTCAGCAGCACCTGAAGCTGAAGCCCAGAAGCTCAGTGACTGGGGACTGGATTTGTTTGTCTTCTGTGTCTTAGGAGGCCACTCTGTAAAATCACTAGTCATGGCAAGGGCAGAACAGACAGAGGAAAAAAAAAACTACTCTATGCTTTCCTCAGAGTTACCTCAGCTCTTTACAAATATAAGCTTCACAGTCTGGAGATGCGGCAGGCTGAGCACATGCTCCTGGGCCACTGTTCCTGTCCTGCAGTAACCTCCTGTACCGGTGGCTCTTCCCGTCAGCTTTGTGTGTATACCTTTGTAAGACGTTTCAGGTGACTTAATGAACTGTGAACTCAAAGTCTCCCTGGTCCATGCCCAGAGTCCAACATCTGGGAGGGAAGGGCTGGAAAAGGGTTGAGGAGGACATCTAGATAAAAGACATACGTTGGGTTGGGGGAAGGTTATGCTGAGTCCCAAGGAAGCCATGGTAGAAGCAGCCACTGATGGGGAGGACAGAAGTGAAGCCCATGGAGGCCCTGACTGCAGAGCCCTCTGCTCATCTGAACAGGGTCCTCAGAACAGGGGTGTACATATTTTCTGCTGTGATTTCTCAGTGCAGGCAGAATTTGAAACAGGAGCTGCTAGAGGCATGGGGATAGCTTCTCACCCTTTTGACTCAGGTGGAAGTTATCAAGCAAGACACAAGATTTCTAAGTTCTTCTGTTCTATACAGAGACTAAAAAAAAACAAATTTAGCACTTTGCATGCCTTTCAAAAGGGTGACACTTTAGTCTTGGGGTCTATTGGAGCATCAAGATCATTTTTGAGAGTGAACAGGTGGCTTCTGTGTATAGTTTAGTGCTTCTGTGACTTGATGGGGCTGTCACCTCTTGTCCCCTTAGGTTGTAGCAGGAGCTGCTCTCCTCCCTTCTGTGAGTGGCCCTGAGCAGGGTCTGTGGAAAATGGTTGCTGTTCTGCCCAGGAGCTCTCCTGAGGTGGGTGTATACAGCACACCTTCTTTATGAGCATGTCAAGATCAAATCAGCCTGCAGCCAACACTAGGATATGGGGACTACAGAAGAGCCAACAAGGTGATCCAAGTGATCATACATGCTCAGATTTACAGGCAAACAACAGTTCGCAACAGAGGGAGTGGGATTCCCCCAGTAGTGTGATTTCATCTGAAAGGTCCGAGGTTCCGGTTTGTTGAGGAGAGTCCTCTAGCTGCTTCTGCCAGGGCTAGGGGCTGCATGTTTTAAACCACAATCCAAAGACAAGGGTGCACACTGTGCGGGCTTTGCTTCTATGATTTCAACTGTTGGACAGATCTTTTGCAGGGTACGATGGGGACAGATGCACCTTTTATTTTGATCACTACGGCAGAACAAGATCTCTGCACGGCCCAGAATACCATAAAGTCACAAGCTGAACATCCAATCATTTTCAGCTCAGACCCTTCTCTAGGTGGGTATTTTCCCACCATCTTGGGAATTTTAGGCACTGTAAGAGAAGACAGTTAGTGTTCCATGGAGCAAGGAGGGACATTCCTTGTCAGAGTGGCCTTGCAGAGGCAGGCTCTCCCCCTGCCTACTTGTTCTTCCTGGCTCAGAGGGGTGCAGAAGGCCAGAGGGTTCTTTGAGTTCTCCCCATACCCAAGTCAACTGGAAGACCTGACCCACAGTCAACCCACTTCTATTCCTGGCACCGTGTCAACTTTTCTTTTCTTTTCTTTCTTTTTTTTTTTTATTTCCACTAGGAATTAAGCCAGCTCTGTTCTTAGCCATGGATACAAACTGTGGAGGCATTTCCTGTTCCAGGTGGTTTTGAGCAGAAAGCCAGCCAGCGTGGGCTGAAGGTAGGCGGGGGTGAAATTCTTTAGGAACTGCTCCCAGCAAATGTGAGAGTAATTCAGAATTACACTGGGTTGACTTCCAAAGCTCCCAGCCATGAGTGGAAACACGGCCTGTTGGAGCTGATGCTAGAAACATAACGAGTGAACGTGGACCACCTTCAGACTTGTTCCTGTCCATGTGCCAGGGCCTGGAATACTGGGATTATAAATTTGCGGGTAAGATAAGGGGACCAAGGCTGGCTCCAAGCTCCCATGGAGGCACAGCACTGCTTCTGGGAGCCAAGTCATTCAGACATTTAAATCAATCTTCTTGTGATACAGATTAGCTTCTCTGCAGTGCACACAATAAAATGTCATCTCCATCAGTCATCCTCAGGTCCTAGTTTGGACTCCACTGCAATTCTGAGGGGCTCCAGACTGATTTGGATGGAGTGAGGGACTGGGCATGCACGTAGGTCTCCGGGGACTTCTGCATGCTATCTGTGAATCTAGCAGAACAATACTCTGTGGTATTTTGGGGTGTAGGGGTCAAGTCTGTAAAGCACAGTACTGTCCAGTGACTGAGAACCACAAACATGGACATTACTACTCTCCTTTGTATAGGTGGCCTCTGGACTTTCACAGTAGAGCTGACAGGAACAACCGAGACAGCGAGCCCTCTGCCCCCAGCAGCATCCACTAGGGTTTACTTTTTTCCCCTTGACCCTGATATGGGTTCCAGTAAAGAGTTCCTTTATATTCTAGGGATTAGACATTGAGGACTTATTGATTATGATATCATCCTCTGCCACGTTTAGACTCGACAGAAAATGGAGTAAGCCTTATCATTTCATTCAGACAAGTGGGGATAGGCCAGGCAGGGTGGGTGCTGGGGCATCTTGGGAGCTCCAGGTCTTTACCTGCTGAGCACCTGTCGATACTTTATGGAAGAAGTGACGTGGAGCACTCAGAGCTGGGCCACCTCTTGGATCACTGGGTTCATAATTTTGTAAGAAAAGGGTGAAAGTGGACTATGGTCCCTTGTGGAACCTCAGGGCCTGCCTTGAGAATTGAAATATGGTTCCCTGGCAAAATGATACATCACTGGAGCACCAGTTGGGAAAGGTAAATTTGGGGGTGACACTAAGTGACAAGATTTCTGATGCCAGCACTGAGGAAGCTGACCTGGTTTTCTCAGCTGAACAGAAAGGAGTGGAATATCTGGGAATTTATGAAAAGGCTACCACTCTGGGAAAGTTGCCTGAAGCAGCACACAGCCCATTTTAGTGCTCATAAGCATTGTCCTGTGTGGTGAGACTGCTGGCATGGAGTATATTAGAACTGGCTGGGACATGGGCTTCTTCCAGAGCCAGACGTGCAGTGTACCTCCTCCTCTTCAGCAACTACAGCACTGTCACTGAAGGCTCTATAATGGCACCACTGTCATTATCTAAGGCTCTACATGATAGCACCATGGTCTTGATTGACATGGATTTGCTAGAGATTCATTTTGTGTCTGTCTCATTAGCGTTAACTCAGGTTGTGACCATGTCTAAGAAAGGCACAGATACTTTTTTTTTTTTCCGAGACAGGGTTTCTCTGTGGCTTTGGAGCCTATCCTGGCACTCCCTCTGGAGACCAGGCTGGCCTTGAACTCACAGAGATCCACCTGCCTCTGCCTCCCAGTGCTGGGATTAAAGGCATGTGCCACCAACGCCTGGTGGCACAGATAATTTTGTATTATCTTAAAAGGTACAGATGTTGTCTAAGACATAATTTCTTTCTGTCAGTGTTAAAATTTCAAATTAAAAGGTTTCACTGGCAATTTTGATTTATCCAAAATACTGAGAGATTATACCCCCACCCCCGAGCTGAGTCTAGCTGGAAATGTAACCCAAACAAGGACCATGAGGTTTAGACTGACTAAAAGATATGGGTGACAGAATTTCTATCCCAGTGAACCAAGAGCAAAGCAGCCCTTGAAGCCCTAAGGAGCATTTCTTCCTGAAGCCTACAGAAGCAGCACACATTAGGACCAGGCTGATCTTCGCTGGGGGTCAATGGCAAGACTGGAGTCATTCAGACATCCTCCTTTAGCTTTGGGGAGGAGGGCTCAGTCAATCAGTCCCTCTACAGGGGCAATGAGTACCAGTCAGGATGGACTCCAACCCTATAGAGATACGTAGGTGTATGTGCTCAGCGGAGTTGGTTACTGTGAAGTTAGGTACCCAGAGCTTAGTGAAAGCCAGTTACTGCTCTGTGTTTCCATTCAGGTTAGGACCATTGCTCTTCGCTCAGTAAGAGGCATCTCCAGAGGGCCTTCAGGGGCTTGCTGATGGGTGGGCCATGGGCCTACCCTACCTGGGCTCACTGCACTGGGCTCTCCAAGAGCAATTTTGGGGAACATAGCTCCCCAATACCTCATGGATTCTTCCACATTCTCATTCTCCATCCTGTTGAAAAGTGATGGTTCTGACTCTATCCTACCCACCTGCCCCAAACATACCTTGGATTCCTGTTATTACAATGAAAGCATGGTATAACACCAGGGTTTACCTGGGAGAAGGTATATAGGGAGTGTGCATCTATACAGCAGTGTGAGAAAGATCAAGAAGCAGAGCTACCATTAGAGCAGCAACTTTGAGAGAATGAGTTCTGTTTTACCCAGGAAACTGTGAGCGGGCTTGTCTTCTACCACACGGATCCTCCGAGCTCCGGCTGGAATGACAGCAGCTTCGATATAACCTGTGGCGACAGATGACATATAACTGAAGCACACCTCAGACCTGGATCAGAAGCCCCTACAGAAACCCCCATCTAAACTGCCCAACAATGCCCCCTGTGGTGAGTTCAGAGACTGCAGGCTGACACAGCTTGAGAAATCAAATACCAACTCACATGGAGTTCTTCCTTCTAAGCCCACCATTTCTCGGCCATTTGGTTTCTAGAAGGTTCCATTGGTATGTACTCTATGTTGAGTTGCAATCCCTCTCTTGAACATGTATTTTTAAATTCTGGAACCCAGTCCCTCTACAGAGGGCAATGGACACAAGTGAGGATGTAATACAACCCTATATAGTTAGGTGTTTGTGTATGTTAGAGTGTGATGTCACTTCGAAATAGGAGGGTTGCACATGTATTTAGCCAATATGACATCCTATTGGAGTCAGGAGGCCCTTAATACAATATGACAGGACACCCTTTTATTAAAATTAGATTGTCTTATTTGTTTATTGTATGTGTGCAGCAGGGGTACCTGTGTCACACTGCATGTGTGGATATCAGGGGAGACTTAGGAATGTCAGTTCTCTGTTTCCACCACATAGGTTCTAGGGATCAAACTCAGCTCATCAAGCTTGGTGGCAAGTACTCTTATCTGCAGAGCTATCTCACCACCCTGAAATACCTCTGAAGAAGGAGGGATTTGCACACAGGCATGGCACAGGCAATTGTCTTGAGAACATGAAGGTGGAGACTAGAATGCTGCTTCTATACGCTAAAGAGCACCCGAATGCCCACCACCAAAAGCCAGCAGAGACAAGGTCAACCCAGCTTACACCTTCGTCTCAGACTTCCCGTCTCCAACCTAAGATAAGAACCACAATTCTATTGTTTCTGCCACCCAGCCAGCGGTACTTTGTTATGGCTGCCTGGAATCAACATGGACACATATAAGTCATACTCTGCCCCCATGCATCTGCTGGTTCCTTCATGCTCTGTCGCAGTTTAACTTTCCTCTGAATGTACACAGGTTCATAACAAAAAGCAAAGACATCCATCCTTCAACAAAGCCATCACTGTCTCTTGCTGTGCACCACCACCTGCCTCCACTGCCCTGGTGATGATTTCTGTGACTGTCATGGCACATACTTTTTTCTGCTTCCTTGGTTATTTCCACATAGAGTAGGAGCTGTGCACATTGTCTGCTCATGGTGATGGAAGGGGGTAGTTAGTAACCATTCAGGGTGGAAATGCCTGGTGGCTGTCAGGGAGCAAGTCAGGGAATGTCAAGTTTACTGGGGACACTCTTTCAGTAAGTGGCCCAATGTAGTTTTGGGATTCTGGAGTACAGACTGGTAATCATTTACACCTGTGTTTAGGCTTGAGACTGGGGTCTGCCTTTACCTCAGCCTCTGTGAGGACGCTGTGTGTCCCAAATATGATCATCGAAACAGCAAAGGGACTTGCGTATAAAAACACATTTACAGATTTCTAGGTACAGCTACATGAAGGCTTGAAAATATCTGGAGAGGTTATTAGCATACTAATTTCCTCACACAACTTATGTCCTTTCAATATAAATAGTGCTCAATAATTGAAGTAACCTAGTCAACCTATAAACTAAAATTGACTTATACCACATCACACTAAAAAAGTTTCAATGTTTTATCAGTTATTACAACATATCTTAGTGCATTTAAAGACACACACACACACACACACACACACACACTCTCTTCTCTTTTAATCTGATGCAAGGTACAAGGAGAATTTAAAATAAAGTCACATGCTGCACAAATATCCATGTAAAGTTAAGCAAGCACCATGTATATGAAGTAACAAGAACATTGTTTTGCAAGGGACAGATCCACACATCATCTAAACCAGTAGTTTTCAACCTGTGGATTGTGACCTCTTTGGCAACCCCCTCTCTTCAAAATATTTACATTAGGATTCAAAGCAGTAGCAAAATTACAGTATGAAGTAGCAATAAAAATAATTTTATGAACTGTATTAAAGGTTTGCAGCATTAGGAAGGTTGAAAACCACTGGTCTAAACCATAGAGAGTGTGAATACTCTGATTGCTCTGAGATTTTGTATTGTTGGGGAGAAAAACAACACTATGATTTCAATAGATACACAAAAGCAAAGGATTAACTTCACTGTCTCTTCATGACACAAGCTATTCAATCTCTAGGATAAAAAAGGAATTTCCTGGCTTCACAAATGACAGCAACCTGTTCTCACAGGTAAATATCTTTTTCAATGTAAAAGAGTCTTATGAATGCTAAATGTTATCCATCTCTATTTTTTTGCTAATTACAACAGAAATAGATATAATATTCTGTATTTCAGTATGTGAAGTAGGGTTATTTACATGGAATTAAAGTATTTTATAGATAACATATATTGTAAATAATATAACCATAGTAGGCCAGGGAAAAGATACAGGTCCAGGATGGATATGGTGGCACACACTTTTAATGCCATACTCAGGGGGCAGAGGCAGGTAGATATCTATGAGTTCAAAGATAGGCTGGTCTACATAGTGAGTTCCAGGCCGGCCAAGGCTACATAGTATGACCTTGTACCCCAAAGCCAATAAAGCAAAAAAGATACAGCCACAAGGACACACTCAGGGGTCCTTCTTTCTTTCAGTACCTCCAATTAGTGCCATCATATTATGACTCTATGAAGCAATTGATCCAGATATCAGGTAGGAGCCCTGGTGATCACTTATTGTGATCTACTTATTTCCTAAGCAGTTCTTGATCCAAGCAAGTGGACAGTGAAGGTTAACCATTGTCTGAGGGACAAGGCAGTGAGGGAAGGGACAGGAATTTCCCCTGGCTTATAGAGTAATTTGTTAGAACATGGGTTTACACATACCAGTGAAGTCACTTTTACAATGAAACAATTTCTAATTTTTAAGTTTACATAAAATACATAAGATAAATAGACTAGTACTTTTATGAACAGTTGAATCTTAAAGTGCACTTTATCCCATTTATCTCTTATTAGAAACACCTTCATCAGTTTGATATATGGTTACTTATCTATGTTCTCACACATAGCATTATAACTCAATATTGTATTATACTGCAACATTTTAATAAATATTAGCTATTTTAAAAACATGATCTGTCTGAAAGATCATACACATTGTTGTATACAGTCCTGCCTCATGTTTTTGTTGACATTGTTAAACAGTTGATGTAACTATTTCCTTGGTGATGGGAACTTATACTGGTATAAAATAGCATTAGAGACAGTGCTATGTCATGGATAAATACATAAACTTCAGCAAGGTATCAGCAAACCCAGTTAGGCAACATCTAAAAGGCATTGTAGACTATGATGCAATATAGCTTATGTCAAGAATGCAAGGTAATCATCCACATTAATAAGAGATAAAATCTACATGATTATCTCAGTAGAAATGAAGACAATATTTGGCAAATTCAGCTACAAGTAGGAAGGGAATATCCTCATCCAGATAAAGGTTACCTATAAAACACCTCACAGCATAACTAATTTCAAAATACTGAATGATTTTCCCACTTAGAATCAGGGATTTTAAAAAGCATATCATGCTTGCCTTTTCCATTCAACAGTGTATTGGAGGATCTTAGGCAATTAGGCAAAAATAAACAAGTAAACATATAAATACATGGAAGTCAAAGAGGTAGGAGCAAAAAGGGTAAGATTGTGTCCATTTGCAGAAGCTAATATCATATGCATAGCAAATCTTAAGAATAAACTAAGGTAACTATTAGAAGAGGTTCAGTGAGTTGGAAGATGCAGGACCAACTATAAAAATCAGCTGTCTTAGGAAGGAACAGTTGAGAAATGGTTTAAATACTACCCCAAAACAATAAAATATTTTGTAATAAATTTAAGGCAAGATCTGTAAGTCTACTACACTGAAAGCTACAACACATTGTTGAGACATATTAAGGAAGATATAAGTAATTAAAAGATGCCCCATGTTCATGGATCAGAAGGATTTCTTTGGGGGGTGGGTTGGGACATCTTCTAGGATCTTGTGCACCCTAGGCAAGCAGGCCAGTGCCACATCCACAGCAAGGGAAGATACCAAATCATCTGTAGATTTAAGGTAATAACTATCAAAATACCCCAAAGATTTGTTTTTGCCAAACATGACAAATTGATCTTAAGATTCATATGGAAATGCAAGGGATTCACAATAGTCAAAACAATATTTCAAATGAAATAGGAAAACTCACACTTTGTGATTTCCAAACATTTTGGTTAACTACACTAATCAGAACAATGTGGTATTGGCATGAGGATAGATAATTCTATCAATGGAATATGACCGAGAGTCCAGAAATAAACCATTTGTTGCTTATTTAAAGCAAAGATGCCAAGAATATTCAATGGAGGAAAGAACAGTCTTCAATAAACAGTGATGGATAATTGGCTATCCTCTGTCTCTGACTATACCCTCCAACCAAACCCAACTAACTAAAAGTAGACTACAGACCCAAATATAAGAGGTAAAGCTACAAAACTCTGAAGACAAAACAGAAATAAATCTCTGTGCCCCAGGACCTGGCAGCAGTTTAACAAAAGGAAAGACCAGTCTTGGATTCTATCAAAGTTTCAAAGCTTGTCCCTTCTCCATCATGGACAGTGTGAAAATGCAATTCACAATGCTGGGGTGAAATAGTTGCTAGTCATTTATCTCATCAAGAATCTGCATTCAGAATATATAGATAACACAATTCAACAAGAAAACAAACATCCCAGCTTAAAACAGGCAAAGGTTTCAATAGGCATTTCTTGAAAAAACAATACAGACATGGCCTTTATATACGCTATGAAAATATGCCATGTGTCATAAGGAAGTGCAGATTGAGAGGAAGATGAGATACCACATCACCCGCACTACAACTGCTGCAGCAAAGGGCAGCATCGGGAGCGCTGGTGAGCAACCGGACAGAGTGGAACCCGAATCCACGGAGTTAGGATGCAAGGCATCTCAACCACTTTGGAAAAG